TACCTTGAATGGACGAAATGAAATAAATAAATAAAATAGAGGCAACATGCACACCAATAGAACCAGCTACAAACTTTTAATCGAAAATAGAACTTGAGCATCATAGAGCAGGCAGTAAGTTGTTTGTAAACCACACTTTAGTGTTTTATGGACTTCTTAGGGCCCATTCTTCTGTTCATAAGCGTTTATGCTAGAAGTGCTTTCATTAGAGATACGTCGAAATTTTTAGAAGAAATTCAAGAAAGTACTTTCTCAAAGAGAACTTGGTCTACTAAAAACGCTTCTATGGCTGTAAAGCATTTAGCTTTCTTCTAAACGTAGTCAAAAGCATTTTTTGTGCATTTAACTGAAAAGTCCCAAACAAGCTCATTTCCTAGCAGGACAACTCAAACCTTTAAACGAATATGAAAAACCTTTCGCCGAAGGTTTCTGTTTATGTACCTTGCTTTCAATCTCTCAAGCTCTTTAATCGTGACAATTTGGGAACCCATGCATGCATCAAGATTCACAAACACCACGCGATTCCCCTGGCGTTGTTCCGCCACGATAAACTCACGAGCTCGGAGCCAGAAGTGAATCCCAGATGCAATCTGCTCGTCATTTGTGTATCCCATCATGTTAATAATCGCTTCTTTTTGACGTTTACACGTCGTCGTGGTCGTGTTTCTAAAAATGAGTGAGAGAAAAGGATGAAAAGATTTGTGCTGGATTTGTTTGTGGTAGAGGACATGATTGCAAAGACGCGATGAATCTGAGAGATTAATGTGAATGCGTAACGTTAGCGGAGGAAGTGATGAACTGGGCCACTGAGCTTACCAACCACTCCCCACAACCTTGAGAGTTTAAGACCCCATTTAAATTACACTTTGTTTGCCTTTGTAGGAGCCTCCTCAATTTACAACATTGATTCGAGACAACATGGGTTGTTCTAACTAAACTCTTTCTTGTTCTAACCTCGAAAACATCGTTGGCACAAACATAAACATCCTTTTCGAACAATCATCGATCAAACATTTGTTTGTTAGGCTGATCTCCGTGCTCATCATCCCTACAAAGGCTTTAGGCAGTGAGATCAACCGAGGCATGAGGTATTCAACTGAATCAAAACTCATGGCTTCTCTAAACACACCATCCGAGACTGAACCGAAGAGTAACATCATGATTTAGGGTAACGCTATATCCACCCGTGCATTTTTTACTTCTTATACTTCAATTTTGGTCGTCGGATCAAATGAATTCATAAAGATCAACGCCAAAAAATTAACAAGAATGAGGTATTCAACTGAATCAAAACTCATGGCTTCTCTAAACGCACCATCCGAGACTGAACTGTAGAGTAACATCATGATTCAGAGTAGTGCTATATCCACCCACTCATTTTTACTTCTTACACTTCAAATTGGCTATCGGATCGAATGAATTCATAAAGATCAACACCAAAAAATTAACAAGAGTACGGTAAAATTAGGGGTGTGTGGATAGGGGTGTATGGATAGCACTACAATAAATCATAATGTTACTCTACGGTTCCATCTCCGTGAAAAGAGGCACCTGAAAACAGAATATACTAGTAGGGATGCAAACCACAGCATCAGAATGGAATGAAACACCTGAATCTAAACTCACAGTTTCTCCAAACCACAGAGACACAGCCAAGGAGTCTCTCATTAAACAGCGAGAGCTCCACACATTATACTTTCAACAATATAACCTTCGCAGGTCCTAAAATCTTTTTGTTTTCTACTAAAAGCGATGTGAATAACTTGCAAATAATTCACATGGAACGCAAATAAACATAGAGTTTAACAAGAGGCATATTCAAAACTAGTAACAAGCATCTTAGTAAATGTCTTACATTCACGAGAACAAGAAGATTTTGAAAGTCTAAACACGATTCTAGATAGAGTTAAACCAAAACTTCAAATGCTCCACCTCCACTGCATTCAATCATCTACATTAGCCACATACCTGCAAAATAAACGAATAGACGAAACAACTATCACTACATGAAACATATATGCAGAAAAAATAAAAAAAACTATAAACAACAACAATGCCTGGTGGTTTGACAGTCGGCTGAGGTTCAAACACACCAGAATGCATTAATTTTTGCATATGATTACAAATAATGATCCGAAATACTTTTTAAATTGCGACCATTGTATTAAAGATCAGATGAACATAGATTTTCGACCCGTAAACCAAGTGAGGACTATATTCCTACCATCCATAACTAAATTAATGGGTGATTGTTAAATCAAGTTCTTCTAAGCGGGAATACCAACTCGAGTAAGGATAATAAGTGCAATAATAATTGAAATCACAACGCTGCTAAAATTCTCATTGCATTTTTATGAACACCAATTAACCTTCTCGACCAGAAAAATAACACATAAATATTAAAAATTAGTACCTCAAATGTTGCTGGGGTACATGAAAACCCTGACTCTAGCTCCCTGTTTAAATAAACAAAGCAACATAATCAATAAATTAAACTCTAATCAAATCGAGCTTAAGTACCAATATCAAATGAAAAGTTGAAAACATCAATTAATTAAAAACTTTACCATGGATTTGGGGGGAAGATTGGATGTAAACTTGGCGCGAACGACGCCGCTGTTCCCATGAGGCCTGGAGACCTTTCCCCAAATGCAACGGTAGTGGCTGCCGTTCGTCTTCACCTTGGCCTTGTAGATATAGGCCAGCCGCTTCCCGGCGTACCACGCCACATCCTCCTTGGTGTTCACGTTCTCGATCTGAATCAGCGACGTGCTCGGGTACTGATTCGACTTGGACCTGAAGAAAAAAAACCCCAAAACCAAAAAACCCATGTCAACAAAACCCATTGCCAAACACTTCCTTAGCTCCAAAACCCATATCAGAAAACCTCCATTTTTAGTACCTCTTGTATCCCAGGACGGTTCCTCGGACATACAGTCTGCGAAAATAATAATATTAAAAATCAGAAAAAATGATGGAAAATTTGACATTATAAAGTTATAAAATGGTTGGAGAAATTAACAAGGAATTGGTTTGAAAGATGGGATTTTTGGGGACCTGATGCGCTCTCCTTGGCGTCCCTTCACCATTTTCGAATGGAGCTCTGTGTGTCTCTGGTGGCTGCTGCTGTGTTGAGAAGACGGAAACCCTAGCGGAAGGGCGAGGAAGATGAGTGAGAGGTTTATATACGGCAGGAGGAGTTATAGCTACAGTTATACTTGGGCCTATTGGGCATAGGCCCAAGACAAACCCACTACTGGTGTATCTATTTTGTTTCTACACTGAAAATTTTAGTTTGACTTGATTTAATGTTTGGGATTTTGTTGCTTGAGAATACACTTCTACTCATATGTACTCTGCTTTGATAAATAATTCAAAAAGTTTATTACAAATTCAAGTGATTCCGGCAAATAATTTAAGAAATTTATTACAAATTCAAGTGATTCCGGCGAAAATATTTGGAGTGTTTCCTGAAATAGCATTTAACAAGCGTATTTCTATAAGTCATTTTTATGAATAAAACACGCTTTTAAGTAATCTTGTCAAATAGAGTCAAAACGTTTTTTTAGCTGTAGAAAAATAATCTCAAACATGGAATTGAAAGCGTGTATGGTCTAAATAATCAAAAACTTTGGTTGTTCTTAAAAATAATTTTCAAATAACATCACTTAAAAATAGTATTCTTTTTAAGTCTCAAAATTTCAAAAATCTGTTTGGTTGAATTTTTAAAAATAATGTTTTTAGTTTGAATTCAAACTTCCTTGAACAAAAATTGGAAGAGAAAGAATTGGAAAAGAGAAAAGAGAGAGGAAATAGTTGGTGAGGGGAGAGAAAGACTGGGAGAGGACGAGGAGGATAGGGAGAGGAAAAAATTACGGTGAGGAGATGAGGAGTGAGAAGAAAGAGAGTGTAATGAGCATAGTCTAAAATATTCATAATATCCCGATATTTCCATCGAAATTTCAGTGTTTTTGGACTACCGATATTTCCGATATCATCGATATTTTAGACCTTACTAAGTCACTCATGTATCTTATCATGCAATGTATAAAGTGTAAAATATTGTACTGATTCATTATATATAAATGATTATGGTGTGTTTAAATTTCTTTCATTAATTACTACATATTTTCTACACTCAAAATGTTTGTCAGCTCGCTATATAATCAACTTAAATCAGTTATATCTATCATGCAATGCATTTCTTTCCAATTTTTTATGATAAACTAATAGATAATTGACTAAATAAACATCCTGCAAAGTTTCAATAAAAATTTCCAAGTTTTTCTTACAATTTCCGTGGTTTTTATTCAATTTTTATCGATATCGATAATATCCCGATATTTCCATCAAAATTTCCGTGTTTTTAGACTACCGATATTTCCGATATCATCGATATTTAATACCTTGGTAATGAGAGAGAGACAAGACAAAGACTGAGGGGAGAGAAAAAACAAGATGTGACGTGGGGAGAGAAGAAAGAGAGGGTCGAGAGAGAAAAAAAAAAGGTTACGAAGGAGTAAAAAAAGATGTTGAGGAGAGAGTAGAAAAACTCTAAAAACTCACTTTTAGTGTTTTTAAGAAATAACTTATGTTTTTAAGTTAGTTTTGGATCCAATTTTTAAAAAGAGTTCTACCAAACAAGAATTTAAAATCTAAAACTCAAAATGTGTTTTTGAGTTAAAAAAGTTGTACTCAAGTAGAATATCAAATAAACCCTAACTTTTTTGCTGTTTGTAAGAGCACATGATTCGTAAATGGTAGATTGCTCTAGAGGTTAAAAAATATTTCTCATCAACCCATTGTGTTTCAAGTTCCCTCTATCCTCATCTTAATATAGATTAACGTAGAATATCAATTGTACTAAAAAATAAACACTTAATTCGAACCCAAATTTGTGGCATAGTTAAAAAAACACTTAATTCTAACCCAAATTTGTTAGAAACTTAGAATGTAATCAAGATCGTAATTTTACATGTAGCCCTCCTCACCCGAGTTCGAAAGCTGCCCCACTCCTTTTCCTCCTCGCCTACGAGTCCAAGACAAACCGATCAATCTAAAAAATTTGGTTTGACATTGACTCGATTCAATTGCTGCCTTACTGGCGAAGCCAATGCCACATTATAATTAGCACACCGATCTCCACTTCTCTCTTCCTCTCTACTCTCTCACGCACACACCCACAATGCAATGGAGGAGCCTCTGCTTTCATCAGGTACATTTCAACTCATCAAATGATTGACTGATTGTGTTGCGTTTGGATTTCGTTTTTGTTAATGGGTTTTGTTTGTTTTTTTTTTTTTTTATCATTTGGTGAAGAGAGAAACGGTGAATTGGGAGAGAAGGGGAGTGAGAAATGGAGCTCGTACCAGTACGTGGGAAGAGCTGGGTCGGTGATTCCGACGGAGGCGTTGGCCGGGACTGAAGTCAGCGTGGAGGAGATACGGTCGGCGGCTACTTATTCTGACCACTACCCGCCTTCTCTTCATGCTGCTTTGGTTAGTCAGCAGGAGCCTGATCCTTCTGGTATGCAAATTTGTGTTTTGTGATGCTTTCGATATGGGTTTTGCGTCATTTGTGATATTTAGGTGAGCTTAGTTGAAAAAATTAAAACTTTTGAGTTTTATCTTCTGTTTGGCTGCTGAGAAATCGAGGGTAGAGACCAATGTTTAAATTTTATGATTTTTAGCTTCTCAATTGTTTCGAAATTTCTGATTTCCTCTAGAACTATACGGCTGAGTTCATTACATAAAGTGTTGGGTTGACTACTTTTTCCTTTTTGGTTTTATTGTCTTGTTGGGAAAAGGAGGATTACAAAATTGGACTTACTTTCTAGTTATGAATCTCTGCTGTTTGCCATTGCTCTCTCATCAGATGTATTGTGATGGTTATAAACTCGCAGAGCAAGCTGTTACTTATAAAGGTGGATATGGAGGAGGTTATGGTGGCACCACAAGTGAGCTCCATAGGTATGGTTCATGTAATGCACCTGTTTTTAAGAGACGCTGTCATTTGAACTGATCGTGTTTTTAAATTGGCCGGTTGAATGGGCCACACATTAAGCACTTCCTGCTTACTTATTGTTCATATTGGTTCACTTATCTTTTTTAAACTAATGAACAAAATGCCTGTTTATGATATTGAGGTTCAGACCACGAGCCAAGTAAAATGCGGGTGAAAATGTGATGGATGCTAGATTAGATCTTTTCATTGTATCAAAGTAAATACAAAAATATGATTTGGGTTCAAGGGGGCTCTTCTTAAAGTGATAGGTACTAGATTCTTGTCATTGTATAAAAGGGAAATTCAAAAACATGTTGAGGATCACAGGAGCTTTTCAAGTAATATGTGCCAGGTTCAGACATTGTCATTCTATAACCTTTTTTCTACGTGGATTGCTCCTTGTCATTTTGTCAAACAGGTTTACTTTTACCTAGTCTTGCCCTAACCTCTTCCCTCTTGCTCGCTTAGAAGATTTTCACGTATTCTTTTTTTCCTATTTACATGCATAAAAATCTATATTTATCATTTTACCCTTGCATATAGTCTGCGGTAATCTGTTATGGTATTTTCCTCAAGTTCAACATTGTAGTGTAAAAAATATTCTGTTAAACTGAATGTTTACGTATAGGCAAATACCAGATGAAGTGGAGATACGAGAGTTGCTTATTGATCATGTTGGCCATAGATGCTGTTGGGGAAGTCGTCCTGCACGGACCTGGAAGATCGAAAAAGTAGAAGATTGTAACGTTTATGTGGGAACACTAGATACTTTCATTGAAGAAAGGGAAACCATAAGATAAACACAGCCATATCTTGGTGGCAGTATTGATGGAAAAGATAAGGGACCAGAACTTGGAATCTGGGAATTGGGTCTAAAGTCTCAGTTTCCTGTTATATTCATACCCCATCATGAATCACGGGCAATAATTCCGCATTCTGAGCCATTGAAAAATGTTCAGGCAAGACTTTTGGAATCACGGAGTTTGAACTTCGGACTTAATAATTGTTTCACCTTGTATTTGTATAATTCTCTGAGATTATTTTGTAAGTACCCTCTTATTTTATGATATATTTCTTGTTTGGTAATTTATGAGTTTCTTCTCGACAGGAAATCATTCCCATACCTTTAATAATAGAATCTATTGTTATTGAAATCTAACAAAATGTTCAAAAGGAATTGCAGGTTGTGGAGGAAGAGGAGATATTGTGTGTCCTAAATGCAATGCAAATCAAGGACCTGGATTCTACAAAGAAAATCAGATGGCTCAGTGTTCTGCTTGTTATGGAAGGGGTTTAATTGCTCATAAAGATGGATCTGATTCAATGTGAGATGCTTATGTTTTGCCTGTCTAGTTATAAATAAAATCGTGCTCTAATCTGGTTTCAGGCTATAATACGAGGACCATCCAATATCACCTTCTTATGCATCATTCACAGATTTAGATTTTTACTGTATCTCACTTGTACATTTATATATATATATATATATATATATATATATACGCGTGTGTGTGTGTGTCTATGCAGATGTGGGAGTTGCAATGGTAAGGGAAAGATCCCTTGTGCAAGTTGTGGATCTCGTGGTTTAATAAGATGTTTGACATGCCAAGGGAGTGGTTCTCTTTTGACACGCAATGTTGCCGTTGTTAAATGGTATGTATGTTAGTTTGGCGATAATATTTCCATATGATGTGGCATAAAAGCCAGATTACCACACTTCATTTTTCAAGTTACCGTCATTTCTCTTACAATTTTGAGAAATTTCTCATACGTGTCTTTTGAAATGGTTTCTGGTTGGGAGATGATGTAAATTGTATGAGTTACAGACAGGCGTGTGCACACGTGCACTCGAACATGCATTCGTCTGAATGCTGGGTGCGTGGACAAAAAAGCATCCACACTCTCACCTTTCTACTGCACCTTTCAAGTTTTATTTTTCTCCATCTTCTTCTTATGTAAATCATCCTGCATGAAAATGTATTATGAAGTAAAACTCTTAATTCTATTTCAGGAAGACACTTTGAACCAGAAAGGTGGTGAGCGCGACAAGCGGAGCAGCATCTGTGCCAGATGATGTTTTACACAGAGCGAAAGGAGTCCAGTTGTGCAACACTCAGGCATACCAGTGCAGTCCAGCCTTCTTGCCGACTCTTTCTTTCTTAACCAGTTCTCCTCCGAAGTCATTGCAGACAGAGCTCCTGTACCTCTCACTGCAAGGGCGATTAGTGAGAGGCATACCATCGCAGTCGGTTGTTCAGCTTCTATATCATCGGGTTTAGCAGGGAGGTGTACTTAAAGGACTACTATCCATCCAGGTTTTGCTGGGGGTTGTGCCCTTGCTTAGAGTGGTTGAAGTTGTAAAGTGGAAGATTGTCGTCTTCAAGAGTGAAACAATTATAATTTTTTGTGCACACATGTATATAGCGGCGGCCGGTAGCCTTTGGTCAGAGAAAGGCCTTAGATTTAACTCACACAATTGCAATGACGATATATTGTTGTAAAGGGTATGAGACTAAGTTTTGCTCCATTGTGATTTGTCGTGGACGGGTTATCGCTCCATTGTAAAAGTATGTTTATAAATATATTTATATCATTTGTTATATAAGAAATATAAAGTGAATGATTAAATAAGCACATAGTTTTGAATTGAATTGAATTGAATTTTTACAAAAATAATCTGTTAATATATATTTACAAAATAAACTGTTCAAATCATTAAAATTTGATTTAAATTGAATCCAACAACTAATTAAAGGGCTTGCCTAAACATCTAACAGACAGGCGGCGGAAAATCAGGTGTTTGGAGTGTGGAGCATGGAAGACTAGGTGACAATGTAGCACTTGAAAGTCCAAGTCCGTGTCCAAGTGTCCAAGTGTCCAATTCTCCAACTACCAACCATGCTTAGGATTTTAGGGCTAGTGGACGGAGGGCGTTCACATGGTCCAAATATCCATGCCCTTCCCTCCCCACTTAAAATTCAGAGGTTCTCACTTCCTCGATGATTCTTTCTAGATTCTTTTTGTGAGAATTTCATAAATCTTCTAATTATATTTGTTCATTGTAAATTATGCGATTTATTTTTATGACGTACTATTTATATTTTATTTTTTTTTTTAAATTATAATGATTTCTAATCATACGATATACGATAAACAAATTAATTAAAAAATCTTTGAAATCTTCATAAAAAAAATACAGAGGGAATTCTCCTTCCTTCCTCACCACCACCGCACACGTCAAGTCGGCTAATTGGGCAAACAAGATGAACAAGAATTATTATTTTAGGAAGTATTTTTGCTCATCACCATTTAGTGTGGTGTATGCTCACCACCCTATTTATCACCATTAGATGAGTTTGAATTTCGAGATTTGTACTTATCTACTACACGAATCTCGAAATTCAACTGTATATGCGGACCCACCACCAACTGTATATGTTTGGCGTGGCGTGTGGACCCCCCTCACTACCATCTGGTGTTCGATTCTGTTATGATTGGAAATTGGAATACACCACTTTTCAAGCTCATATCTTTGCTTGCTTCTTAAGTCCTAAAACCCAAATTTAAGTTAGTCAAAGTAAATATTTTGGGTTTCTTGACTTTGAAAAAGACAAGGAAAAAAAAAACATGCATATGAAAACTTGTCTATCCTCTGTAAATGTCACTGCAACGGTATTTTTAACGATTCATACACTATTATACGAAAAAGTTGAAACGCATAACGCATAATTAACTTGAGTCACCATTACAATGACATTCTCGTTGTATCCATAGTCTGGTTTAATAAATAAAATAGTAACGTAAGATATCCTATATTACATGTTGTTACAAGAAGTTTCATGCAACGTGTATGTCAATGACATTGTAACGGTATTCAAAGCTAATAACGCATTATCGTGTGAAAAAGTTGAAAAACATATTAGTGCGTGCGTAACTAGCTTGAGAAACCAACGCAATAAAATCATCATTATAAGCAAGTTTCTATCGTGTAGTTAGGTTTAATAAATCTATTTTGACTTGGATTTTGTTGGCCACCATAAGTCTGAGGTCACGAAGATAAAACATATGGTATGGAACCCATGTCAAAAGTCAAAATGATTAGTCCTTAATTAAATATTATTAGACATGACACCACAACCATCTTCTAATGCATTGTTAGCTTTCACTAAATTTCTTCACCAACAAAATTCCACTTAGAATCTCTCTTTCAATTGCCACCCCTAACTTCTAAGACTTCCACCCAAATTTTTTATACGACAATTTCATCGTCAATCTTTGCCACTTAGACCATCTCCAAACTTGCGCTAAAAGCCAAATTACCCCCCAAACACTCTTCAACCCATGTTAAAATTTTAGGCCAAATGGCAAATGTTATTTCTGAGCCAAATACCCCCCCCAGCTTTCCACCCGGGTTAAATGCCAAATGTTTATCGGAATTTAAATTTTTTTAGATTAAAATGTTCATAAAATTAATTTACAATAATCTACATATTTATTTAAAAAAAATTGATTTAAGAAAAAAATTAGTCTAAGTTCATTCTTTAATAATTTCGGGCTAAAATTTTAGGGCAGAAGGGTTGGAGCAGAAAAGATGTTTCTGGACTAAAAGCCAAATTTTCCGGGCTAAAAAATTTGGCTTTTAGCCCAAGAGTTGGAGATGGTCTTAGCATAGAAAAATAAAAAATGAATTATGACAATTTTTACTTTCCCCCACAAATTAAAATAGTATCTTGTAAAATTTTTTCTTAGTTGGTGGTTTCGCCAATGCACTCCACTTTTACAGGGTTCAGGAAGACATAGACATTTCAACTTTTCCCTAGCAATCTTTGTGCAATTTACTAGGTCAGAAATTGAACTCATATGTATGGAATACAAATTTGAAATTCATTCTTAACCATCGAACCATCCCGTGGTGATTATAGTATTCTGTTTCATTTTACGATAATTATTTTGTATTTATTTTCTTATTATTTTAGTTTTAGATGAGAGCAAAATAGAAAAATGATTAAATTCATCCAAAATACAGATCGTGCTTAGCTTTGCACTCGTTTATGCAAAAACAAAATAATTCTTTCCGCGTTGAATTTTCATCCGTCGATCCCTCGCTCGCAGTGCTCTGATTGGCGCCGCAGTCCCCCACAAAACCGCGCCGGCATCGGCCGAAGTTTTTCCTCATCAATTCGGTAAAGAAATAAACCGCTGCGATTGAATCCCAGACTATCAAAACCAACGGCTAAAAATCCAGTAGTAGTCACTCTGCTACAACGGTCAGATTTTAGACGTGCCTACCCAATGCGGTACGGTAAGAGACGAAATGTGCAGTGTTTGTATGCGAGCTGGGGGATCGTGAGTAGTGCCACGTGTCGAGTTGAACGAAGGCGGGAATGTCAGGAGTCAGAGTCTACCTCATCCCGTGTTCGATGACAAACTGACAGCTAGGAAACGAGGATCGAGGAACGTTCCAGAAAGTGACCGGCCGAAAGTCTTTGCAATGTCCAAACTACCCTTCGTGGTAAATGGATGAACACCCAACCCACCAAGTACATGAATAGCATTCACCATTTTGTTAATGGAAGCTTCTGATTAGTTATGTTTGATTTGATAATTCGGCGAAGCCTCACTTGCACCATATAAACCAAAGTTAGCCGTTATCTAATTTCGATTTGTTTTTAATCAATGTCTTGTATCACAAAACAACAATCAATTACACAGTTTGATTTTATTAGTGTAAGTGTGAATTCTACATAGATTAGAAATGAATCCCATGTTCGAATTTGACGGATCATCATACAATCAAACAAATGGTAGAAGTAAATTAACATGATTTCAAAACCTGGTGGTGCTATGGGAGAAAATTGAAACAACATTAGGGTTTTCAAAATCATGTAATCCGTAAAGTACTGGTTAGTACTTTGTGAATTTTAAATGTTATTTTAGTGTTGTCTACAAAAATACGTAGCTCGCACAAAAAAACATAGGTTGAAGATTGTCCTTTTTTTTTAATTACGAAACAACGTTACAAATAAGATTTTTTGCATATTTATTGTCATATATATCAAATTACAATCTAGAAAATATAACAAGAAGAAACTTATCATCGTTTGGAGAGATTTTTCACGGTGCACATAATATGGGCAAAGTAGCCATATATCATTATACAAGTGGAGAGACACTTAGGGAAAAAAAAAACGTTTCTCTATTTGTATAATAACATATGCCATACCACATTATTTTCCGACACATTGAAAAATCTTTCTTAAGTTTGAAGATTAACAATAAAAACATATGGTCATTTGAAAACATAAAGAAGGCAAAATGATTGGGTTCGGAAATATAGTGTTGGATAAGCACGATGCTAAAATTGAAAAGATAACCAAAGGAAACATCCATACTAACCAAAAATAATATTTCACTTGCAGATGGCATGACGCCCAAAAGAAAAATAAATTAAAAATGGAAAATTAAAACGGCCCATATTATAAATATTTCAAGTGTACACGCTATCATGCATCTTGCTAGCTTTCCACTAGAACTGAAAACATTGTCGTAACGTATATGTGAATAAGATGAGTCGCCTTTTGAAAAAAATAATGTTAACGTTGTCGTAAGATATACCAGAGAAGCGATTGATCAAATCTTGCTTGCTAGATAGCATAATTATTAAAACTAGAAAGAAGTGAGGTTTCTTAGATTGAAAGGCACAAAAAGCCATGCAATTTTGGTCACACTACTACATCACATTCACATGGGATATTACGCAAACGAAAGGGATGGTCATATTTAAGCTACACTGCTAGCTTTCCACTCGAACTGAAAACATTGTGTTAATGCATATGTGAATGAGGTCAATCGTCTTACAAGAAAAACAACATTAATGTTGTCGTAAAAATCATACTAAAGACGCAACTAGTTAAATCTTGCTTGCTAGACAACATAATCATTAAAACTAGAAAGAAGTGAGGTTTCTTAGATCAAAAGGCAACAAAGCATGCATTTTGGTCACACTACTACCTCACATGGGAAATACGCAAACGTAGGGGATGGTCATATGTAAGCTACATGATGAGAGTGGTGTGAATGATTGAGTAAACACTCAAATTGGGATCCTTGTTCATGATCTATCACTGCTGTGGGCAGGTTGCATGCCAACTTCATGTGTATGGTAACTAAAAGGATCAATTAGGGTACCCCACAAAGATAGGGATATGTGTATGTAGGGGGAGAGTGTGAGACAAATAGGTACATAATTCGCTGATCTCAAACGTAATAAGAAAAATGGTAAATTTCAGTTTATTGCCCTCAAGTTTCATGATTTTCAACATTTAGTACATAAAATTTTGTCGTCCCAGAGATCTGGCTATTAAGTCTCCCGTTAACTTATGATGTGGCGCCCATCTGGACAATGACTGGGCGCCATGTGTCATTAAGAGGTCCATGTGGAAATTAAAAATTCAAAAAAATTTTCTCGCCCAAATTTAAAATATTAAAATAATTAATTAAAT